TATATTAATAAATATTTTTTAATTAAACTTAAAAAATTTAAGTTTTATATTGAGCCAAAAAGCGTTCGGAGACTTTTGGCGGGGGTCTGTATTATCTCTGTTATTAAAAAAAAGCTCTCATAATATTTCGTCAGCTGAAAAGGTGTCTAAATTGACTACGTTAACCATTGTACTAACTTTTATATTTTTTATAAGTTATTAAGTAAATGGTACCGAGACTTGCTAATAAAGTAAAATGTTTTGAATTAGAAAGTAAAATTTTCTTTACATATACTGAGCCATAATCAAAATATGTTTAAATTTATCGAGACACCTATGTATCGTAAACTTTATTATTAACTTTTTTAAATTCAAAAATGAGTTTTATGATTTAAATAATGTTAAATAAAAGAATATGACTAGAATTTTTTTAAGAATATTGATCTTCTGTTACACATTCTCTAATTTTTTTTAAATATTCTAAACTGATATATGATTAATTTTCTTCCTAGAATTTATAATTTATTTATTCCATGTTGCAATGAATAAATAATACTAAGTTGTAAATTATAATCTTTTATTTTGAATTTCAATAGATTTATTTTTTGTCTAAACTATATTTCGAATTTTTCGGTTTGATTATATCCGAATATAAAATATATATTGGCAAATTTTGTATCCGTATTTTAAATTGAACAAAATCCAAGGTCGAATTCGGTTTCCAACCTCTATTATTGATATATTAATACGTCTTTTGTTCCTTCATAATACATACTTTCATACTGGAATCAATAATCAATATTATAAATACGTAAACTTTGTGTAATAGTTATTAATGAAAATCAGAGATATCACGGCATCCGTTGTGATCCCTAATGATATCAGCGATTACCGATAAATAACTAATATCTTTCATGTCATGGTTACTAACGCTCATGAATAAATAATTGACGTTAATAGACCTTGTGTGACAATAAAATTCGCGTGTTCAAAATACAGAAAAGCAACGAAAAATTAGCTTAATATTTTTAAAATTTCCGAAAAGGTACATACATGAACATCAACAAGAGTTGATATCTACAAACATTTCAAGAATCTCAAAATTCAAAAAACATCACCGACAAAGATCACACTTTTTGTAAAAAACTTACACAACGTATAGTAAATCGAATTTTTACATAAATTTTAAGCCATAGACTTTAACAGTTCCCGTTTTCTTAGTTATATATTATACACCAAAGACTTGCTTGGGCCAATTTACAGATTAATAAAATAATGACATAATTTGAATTAAAAACCATTTTTTTTGACTAAAGAAGGTGAAGGCAAAGTCGATCACGTGAATAAATTTTGGCCAACGGTGAATTTTTGTACCCTGTATACGATTAAAAAATGTTTTTGTTTTTGAGAAAATTAAAATTGTCATATTAAATGGTTAGAATAATGTATTGCTAATGAATATTTCAATTATTTTGAATATCTGGACTTCCAAAATTTTAACTAATAAGAAATGATGCATTTGGATATGTTAAGCGTGTTCATTGAAAAAAATCTGATTGTTCTTTTGTGTTAAAATTTTTAATAATGAAATCAATTTTAACGAAATTATAAAGAGGTAATAATATTATACCTATTTAAATTAATTTGCATTATGCTATAAGAATTACATAAAGAAGTTTTTCCAAGAGCATTGGAATCAACATTTGGACTGGTTCATCTAAATATTATAAGTATTTATGGATCACAAGGAAGAAACCGGTAAATTTTAGATGTATAATGTAAAGATTTTTAATAATAAGATTTTTTTTTTAATTCAAATTATTTTCACACAAGCATATGCAATAAAAAGATACTCATTAATTTTGGAATTTGCCGATAGTGGCAAATTAAATACATATATATTAAAATGCTATTTTAATAACTTGATTAGAATGACAAATCTTAACTAGTTTCGCAGCTGGCAAGTGCTGTAGTATTTTTGCATCCATGGTATATTGTTCATCGTGATCTGGTTATAATTATCTTTTGTAACGTTATTTTTCAACTTAATTTATTATGGTTCTTTAAATAATTAATATATGAAAATTAAGCATGCAAATAATATACTAATACATCAGAAAGCCATTAAATTAGCTGACTTTGGTTTATCACTAAAAGTCACAGACATTTCAAGAAATGAGTTAAATTTATAAGGAACTAAAAAATTTAAATTGTCGAGTAAACTAGGTAACAGGAACTGTTGAAGCGTCCGAAACGTTATTCACTAATTATGCATCATAAAATTGTTCTAAAAGAAATGCTTTTCTAAGTTAAAAATGTATCTAAAAAATATATAATATAGTTAAAATTAGGGATGCTAATGGTCACGGTCATGACCGGTCATAACCGTGACCGATATCGGTCGGTCAAAGGCTTCTAACCGACCGATTCTGACCGATTTTTTTTATTTCTCTTGCTTGAAAAGTGCAATTTTGAACATAATTTTTTTGACAATCTAAGCAAATAAGACAAATAGGACATGCGTTCAAACGAAATTCCATTTTTTGTAATATATATTAGTAAAATATTGTTTATTTTATTGTGTAAATATAAAACACGTGTTACACTAATAATAAATATAACGTGGTATTGATACCGACAACCCGACAACTCGACAAATACCCGGCATCAAATTTGCCGAGTGTCCCGCATATTTTTAATTTTTCTGTAAGCCAAAACTGCTCAATTATATATTACCATTAACTGTCGGTCACTGGTCAGTTAAAATCGGTCAGTTAACCGGTCAGTCGGTCAAAGGCCTTCGACCGACCGTTGGCCGACATTTACCATCCCTAGCTAAAATAGCTAAAATCATACTAGTTAAAATAGCTTAGCTAAAATAGTTAAAAATTGAATAATTAAAATTTAAATTTATTTCCATGTTTGATAAAAAAAATTTTCACACAAAAAGCGAATTTTTAATAAAAAGTTATATCGCGTAACATAACTTTTATTCACTGTTAAGAATATTAATTTTACGATGAAAAATGTTTCTATGTAAACGTTATTGTTACACTTGATCCTAAAATTTCATTAGTTATAGTCGCGGCGTGACAGACAAACCTTGCATGATTTCAAGTGGATCGGAAAAAATCCTTTGCTAACGCTTCGGACAATAATCTGATATTTATAGTATTGGAGTTTTGATGTGGCAAATTTCAAATGGAAAAAGACCATTTTGTGAAGAACATATTGAATTTGATATGAAAATATTGATCTTAAGAATACTTAATGGAGATAGAGAAACAATCATCAGTGGTAATCCTATGGGTGTCGTCTAAAATCCCGAAACCCATAATCCCGAATGCTAAAATCCCAAATGCCATAAACCCGACAGACAAGTACAAAATCCCGACTAGTATAAAATCTCGACATCAAAAAATTATTGCTACGTGACATTAGCTAACTTGATAGTCATATAAATAACGAACAAATAAAATTAACTTTTTTTTGCTTCATTTTCTTTTGAATTTTTTTTAAATTATTAAAATATGGATGAAAAAAATGACATTTATATAACTTTATCATGGTTCTTTTTTTACATTTGATTCATCATTATCTGCACTTTCATACACTACTCTTTTATAATCTCTAAATCTGTATAATCTTCCTACAATATTACTAAGTATACATAAACAGGATGACATAAGTGTTAATAAAGGTATTGCATCATAATATACCACTTTTTTAAAATATATAAACTATTGGATTTATTAAATTAATAGTTAATTATAAATATATTAATGATAATCAAAATAAAATAAAAAAATTAAATACCTGAATAATTAATTGAGGTATATCTTCAAATAAGATATTAAAGCAAGATCCCCAAAATATTCGATTTAATGCTTCTTTAGAAAATGTAGCATTAAATATATCAAACCCTCCAATAATTACTTTAGATTCAAGTATTGTTAATAATTCAACCTCAGATCCTGCTAATACTGTGAACACGTCTACAACCTTTTTATTCTCTCTTGACCATTCAAAAAATTCTCTCATTTTTTCTTCCTTTTTAATAATGACAAATGCAATTATTACACTTATGATAAATGGACCTATCGTAAATAAAATGCTAAAAGAAATTATTGTTAATATTTTTCATTTCATTTAATTTAGCTGCATACATACATTTTTACCTTGGGATATATAATGCTTCAATATTTTTGGCTTTTGTAATAATAAAAGTAATATCCATGATGACATCAAAAATGATGATACCAAGTTGAAATATTACAGTATTTTTTGCCTAAATATCAATAAAAGGTTATTTGTAAATAAGGATATTGTTCCTTTCAATCGAATATAAAATTCATGATATTTACGTCAGCATTTTTACGTTTGGCGTAAAAGAAAAAACAAATCAATACTAATGTGATTGCAAATATTCCAAGGAGAGCTGATCCATAAGTTTTCCGCCAATTAGCTATTTTATGTTCAGGATTTAAAGTTATAAATATATTTAGCTTTATTTGAAAGAATCTCCATACCAGTAAACTACTACTATTATATGATAATTTTAAAAATTGAATTCTTACGGAGAGTTTTATATCCATAATCCTCATCTAAATAACTGGTTGATTCACCTGAGGCGATAACAGTGATAGGTTTATTCTTAATCAAACTATCTAAATCCATAATTGCCAAACTAACTGATCTTTCTTGTTCAGTCTCCATTTTTTTAATGTCAATGGATAAAAAGATTTGTTTTTGAGAAACTGAAGTATCGATTTCAAATCCTTCATTGGTAGTTATGCGATTAGGATTGACGGGAATTGCATCAGCTAATTCTCGTTTTAATTTCATAAGAAAAACTTCGCGATCGGCTTCATAAAGAAAATAAGAAGTTCCTTCTGGAGTCAATCGAACTTGTCCCATAACGTCATCTGAACTAATTTCAGTTTCAGTTTCTATTTGAAAATGGTTAAGTGCGTTCTAACAGTAATGAAATAAAATCGAAATAAGAGAAAATAAAACATACGTGTTGTAGTAAACGACCATACATGGTCGTTTACACCATAGAGAGGCTCTTGGTAAATTTTGTCTTTTACAGAATTATTATCAATTGAAACATAATATCTTCTGCCAGGTTGATTGAATGTGGATTTAAGTATTGCAACTTTAATAGTAGTATCATCACCATAAGATACATATCTGCCGTTGATTCCCGAAGTGGTTTGACGTATATTACCATCGTCTTGAAAAATTGTAATGTTACCGTTTGATAATTCAACTTTGTTATAATATTTAATATTGAGGAACTCTAAATCAGATGGAATCATGTCATCAATACTTGGAGTCGTGGAAGCGATATGGAAATTATTATATCCATGATCTAGAACATATTAATTTAAATATTAACATTAATGTTACAATGTTTACAATATTTGAAATTTTCTAAAGTCACTTACCTCGATCCTCATTAAATTTATGCAATTCCGTGGTGATCAAAGCCCATCTTGGCTTTTCTCCGACTCGAGCAAGCACAAAAGTATTATTTCTCAGAATAGTGCTACCAGCAATAACGTTTGACTCGACAATGTTTGGAAGATTCCAAGAATAAACTTCACCATCATCATTAAAAACATAACCATAAACTATAGTTATATTATCAACACTTCCTATTCCACTTAATAAATAACCTCCATATGGTAATAATTGAACAGCATAATACTCAATTAATGGATTCGTTTGAATCTTCAATGGTTTAAAATTATATGCGGTTCCACATGAAAGAAAATCAAATTTAAAATAAATGGTTTCTTTAACCGCACCAATTGTATATTCTCCTGTTACTATACAGACTTGCCCAATTCCTACATAAGAAACATCGCAATTAATGTCAGTAAACTTTAAACCATGGATTGTAGTTTGATAAAGAACAGCTGGTTCTCGTTCAGTCTCTTTGTCGTACTCTAAGATTAATATGTATAATCCTTCCTGAGGAATAATAGAAGTAACTTCGGAATCCGTGGAATTTGCGTAGACAATTGCGTATCTACCATCCACCATTGGAATGGCTGTTAACATAAGGCTAAGAGATTCTTTAAAATTTAAGATATCTTGCACAAGAAATAAGATATTTCCGTCTCCAGTTCTTTATCAAAAATAAATAAAATATTGTAAAATTATTTTTCATAATTAATTTTAATTAATACTAAAATATTTATATGATACATTACACTTCGTATCGCTCGAAGCCAAAGTCAGAAGTATTTGTAATTGGTATTACACGGAGAAACCCTTTGTAAGAATTGTAATTTACAAAAATTCCAGCTTGATCAGGCAACCATTGATTAGTGACAACATCTACATAGGTAGATTTAAATGTAGTGTTACTAAGAAAAAGGAAAGTGAATTAATAATGCTGTAAGGTTAATGATTTAATAGTAATTTGATTTATCTAACCCGTAAATATTTCCATTTAAATCAATGACCATTGCCTTTTCAATGTAAGTGAAAGGATCATTTAGATCCGCGGCCTCCGCATAAGTAACTAACAAAAATTTGCTTCTTATAGGATAAATTTTAATAGGACTCCCAATTCCATAAACTTCGTTTGTTAAACAAAAGTTAAAATCTTGAATATCTAATTTAATGTCAATTGGTACAACCTTCCCATCAGGATAAATCGTGCGAAGTGACAAGTATTTATCCAACCAAAGTAAACCTTCTTCAGAAGGGATCGATAAATCGGGACGAATTATGCGGAGGATTATCTTGTTATCACTGTAATTAATAATATCAAATATAGTGGGTGTACTCTTGCTGGCGTTCACAGTTGGTATGTCATAATACGTAAAATAATTTTGCGTTGTTATTGGTAAAATAGCAAACGAAATAATTGTAAAGATCGTGAAAATAAATATATAATCATTAAACTTCATTTTGGGAAAATTTTGAAATTATTTAAACTTCATTAAAACGATAATAGTAAATAAAAAAAAAACTGAGACAATAATTGGGTATTTAATCTTATTCCGTTCTAATGAAGCTCCAAATTTATGTTGCTTTAAAATTGATATATTATTACTTATTTTGAAGTACAATTTTAGTTGACTTAAAATTCAATAAGATTTAACTTTCTTTGTAAAACTTACTGTTTTAGTTGCATTATCTAGAATATTTTTTTCATATCGAGATTATCTAATCAGTACCGCATAAGATCAGATGGAAATTTGTACTCGCGTACAATGTGATCCAATTTACCAAAAAATATTATATTTTAAAAAAATAAGTTACACAAAATCCTTTTTTTGTTCTTTTATAATAAAGTTTTCGTTTCTTTTTTTAAAAAAAAAAATAAAAAAATCAAAATTATTTATTTAAAAAAAGTTCTTTAGTTATGTCAGTAAACATGATTAAAAAGTTATCACGGAAGAGATCAATGACACCTCCAACATTCACAAAATTTCATACCATGTTGAAGACGAAGATTTTTATATTTTCTGCATCAGTTGTTTGGGGACTAAGAATCACAACTTTTCGAAAATTAATCTAATTTAGCTTATTTATTGTTTTGAAAGTCGAAATTAATTATTTATATTGTTAAACTATTCTACATTTAATAACCAATTTTATTATGCGATACAGCCTAAAATGTTTGTCAAATATATATATATTAATATATTATTTTCATTTACTGCGCAATGTTTCAAATTGTTTAAAGTCGTACGGAAAAATAGTTAAGGTTTCGGAAAACACCCTAATTCCATTTGGAGAAAGTCAAGGATTTTAATGCTTAAGACAAAATTTTCGAAATTTAACCAAATTGATTTGTATTGCTAAACTTTCGTGTAAAATAGTCTAATAAAAAAGTAATGTAATTGAAATTTTATGCATACCAATTATAACAATAGCCAAGGTTTCATATGAATATATATTATAAAAAAATACTGAATATATACAATAATTAAAGTTTCATGTAAATAGAATATCGGACTTAGAAAGAGCTTCGGACATTATTCTGAATAATGAATAAACTTACGCGTATTTTTCTTCAAAATTAAAATTCTATTTGAATTAATTAAGTTAGACCTCAAATTTTGCCTGGGTATAAATCAGGATTTTCAAAGGGGAATTCTATTTTTGAGGGGGGTAATTAAAAAATCTCATTTAATATCAAAAATTTTGATGCGCTTTTCACCCGTTAAAATATATTTGTTACCGTCGAAACTAGTTCTCGAAACGTCGAGTCGACCCAGTTGTTTGACCCGACTCGAATTTTTTCTCGAGTCGGGACTATCGTTTTTATGACACGAGTCCTAATTCAAAAAAAAGGGTCAGGGTCACGTTTTTGCTTGACCCGGATGATCAAGCACGCTAGACTTTTTTTTTGTTTTACGTTACACGACTTTAATTTGTAACATATCGACGTTACAGAAAAACTTTTTCTAGAAAACGAAAAGCATTGCGGAGTAAACAAACAAAAAAAAAAATTTATTGATTATTTAACATTAACTAATACATTTTTTTATAAAGCAACAAGTATTCCAGTAAACGAATTTTTCTGGCGGAACCGATCTGATATCAACCAAAAGATATAACCTTAAAGCTAATACAACTCGCCTGTAAGTTCTTGAAATCCTGATTGAAAAAAAGGTATTAGGATTAATGCTCACAGAAAAAACAAATTTAAAAATAAATAAACTTTACATGATACTTTTTTTGTTTTCGCATTAATATTACTTGAAAATTCGAGTCGAAATGATCGGATTCGGGTTCTGTAATTATTAACGGGTTCGAGTTCGAATATGCCATAAACCCGACCCTTACGGAGCACTAATCGAAACTTTTGCCGCCCTCGAAACTTTCGCGTTTCTTATAAAAATTTGACAAAACGTTAAGTTTCGGTTTCGTATTTTCGACATCTGCCGAAACCTCAGGGATTTTCCAGGAAAAATGATTAATTATATACTACTCAAATGTTGTCTGGACAAATTGTTCACGTAAAAATTGTCTTCTCTGGCCAATTTTTCTTTATAAAAAATTAGTATATATTCGATGGGAGATCGTTCTTTTTATTATTATATTCAAAAACTTTCATTTTATTACGATTATTATTCTTTTATTCATATATAAATTATTTATCTTTTTATCTTTTGTTTTTTTGTTCTTAGTTTTAATTAATTAGCATTATTTTAACATACTATAATAAAGGAGGATCGGTATTATGGTAAAAAAAAAAAAAAATTAGTGATTTTATTAGTTCGAACGGATTTTTGGGCCTTTGACAAGATTTCCTTTTTCTCAAAAAATCTCCTTTTTAGGCAATATGAGTAACGCCAACGACTGGCCATTATTATATAACTTATTACTGAGGGATCAAATAAAGGTTGTTTAAATATTCTTTTTTTTTTTTTTTTTTGTTTGAAAGGCGGCACATGATGAAATTGTTTTTTTTTTCTAATATTATGTTGATTATTTATTTAATTAATAATAAATTAACTAATTCATAATTATTGATTAATAATTTTGTTTGATTTATGATTATATTGGTTAGAGGAGATAACTTGATTGCGGCACCCTCGGCTCATCATGGCGGCGCAGTCAAGCGCGTGACGAAAATTTCTTTTTATTATTGTTTATATTGTTTATTACTAACAATTCTACCCGATGATGCTCACGGTTCAAGGACAATAAGTCTCCGGTATCTTAAAAATCGCGATTATTATTAGTAATATTTAAATAAATTGAAAAAAAGTAAAAAAAAATGATAATAATAAAAAAGAACGGGGAGGGGGACGAATAAAAAAAAAATAAAAAAAAAGAATGAGGGAGGGGGAGGGAGACGAATAAAAAAAATTAAAGTAAAAGATCGCGGGGGATAAAAAAATTAAAAAAGGAATTAAAAAGATCGCGGGGTAAAAAATATAATTAAAAAAAAAATTAAAAAATTAAAAGATAAAAATAAATAGATCGCGAGGGCAAATATAATAAAAAAAAATTAAAAAAAAATTTAAAAAATTAATAAGATCGTGGGGGGTAAAAAATATAATAAAAAAATTTAAAAAATTAAATTAAAAACAAAAAGATCGTGGGGGTGATAAAAATAAAAAAAAAAAAATATATATAATCAAATCTTTAAGTAAAGAAGCATTCACTGTTGACAAATTCACGATAAAAGAATATGAGAGATTAGAAACAAAAGCATCTGAACTATTAGCTTTATCTAGACACTACAAACAAATAATCAAACATTCTTATAAATGCAATAATTCCAAATATCAATCATTTTATTTATAACTAAATATCAAAAAAGCAGAACGAATTTCGGAAACGTAGATCACCGACGTTGAAGCAATTATTAATTTTTATTAAATTATTTTACATCATACATCTAATAATAAATCCTTCTAGCTTACCTTTTCATTTGTTTATCAAAAGAACTAAAAGAACTGAGCGCAAAACTAGACTGTATGTTTAATATGAAGTAATAATTACGACAAACTTATTGGTAAATTTATTAAAAACAAACGAAATAATGAGAGTCAGAGCTGAAATATTTTTAAGGTATGAAATGAAGACTGAAATGATTTGTTAAGTAAATTAAGCTTTTTTTAAATCGCAAAATTATTTCGGCAAAATTGATCACGTGAAAAATACTTTAGGACCAATAAAACTATGACGGTAAAAGATCTACGATTTACCACTCAATAAATTTATGTAAAGTTCATAACTAAACTTTATTCGAGTAAAGCTATAATTAAAAAATCGTTTTCTTTCGTTTCTGACTAAATATTTCAAACAATTAATTTATTTTAGTTAATTAATATAAATATTTAAACTATATTTAAACTATTTTTTTTACCTTTGAAACCTGTTGTATTAGGAATGTGTAAAAGAATCGTAAAATAACAATTAAAAAAATGGTAAACATAATTATCGCACGGCTCCTCTATTTGACCAATATTTTTTATAATATACAATAACTAACCTTTATTGTATTTCTCGGTATTTTGTTTGCGCAAGTATCTATTGTAAGTTTTCAATATTTGGGGAAAAAATCATTTAGCAATTACAAAGATGAAATGATATATTTTGATATTAATTTTCGATGGGATTTTATAGATTTATTATAATTTCGAATGATACCGCGAAACCAAAATTTGCAAAATTTGACTGTTTTTAACATGTTGGATTGTAATACAATATAGAAGATCTTAAATAATCTTTATTCTTATTTTTTATTCAAAGATGAAGATTCAATTGAAAAGCTTTAGTGAAATACTAAGGCGGCATATGCTGCATGATTTGCTGTATTCTAGCAAAAAGAATTACAATTTCTGGATGAAAATAAATACTGCTAAATTAGGAAAATGTTTTCAGAATAATACATTATTTATGAAACAAGAAAATAATAATTAAAAAATTGGGATATAGTTGGAATTAATGAAGAACTTTAAAGATTACATATTTTTTTGCATTTTTTTTTCATTCTTATAATATAACGATATAAATCTAATAATAATAAAGTATTATTTTTTTTTCGAACATTAAGATGCTTATTAGTATTTATAAATTTAGTTTTATATAATTAAAATTTCAAATTAATATCAATGGTTTTAATTAGGTTTTCATCTATCAAAAATTTTCCCCCCTATCATAATATTTATCAGTCGAAACTTTTACCACCTGTCAAAAATTTTGCCACCCGTCGAAACTTTCGCGGTTTTGACTTTTAAAAAAAAATTTGGCAAAACGTCAAAACTAGTTTCACCCGTCGAAACCTCAGGGATTTACCAGGCAACCTTACAACAAAAGACGCTCAATCCTGCATCGAATTACCTTATTTTCTAGATCAATGCAAAAATGATAAGGTTATGTAGAGCCGACTTGAAAGATCGCGAATCAATTTATGTTAAGGATTTTTTCTTACCTTTTATTACAGTTATCTAACTAAACATCGAAAATTCCTAAAAAAAAAAAAAAGATATTAAAAAACCTAACCTTCTATTCAGGTGATCTTAATAAGATGCCGTTCTTAGCTGGAATGTTTAAAGTGGCGTAAGCGTGTTAATATTTTTATAAATTTTAAATATATTTTAAAAATAAAAAAATAACATTTCTTCTTTAATATTCAAAAGAAGCATAACATCAGATTGTGGGAATTTGCTTCGAGCGTTTCTCATCATAGGATTAGCTTCCGGAGCATATTCCTTCATGAAAAACGTTTTCGAAGTATTTCTGATTGAAAGAAATACTCCTCCTTAAGCAGTTTAATATGAATCCGAGTCATATTATTATATTATAAATCGAGCAGCACTATAAAGGTAACATAGATTGGATCTTGCAAAAAGATAATGATCCAAAGCATTGATCAAAAATCGCGAAAAAATGAAAGGAAGAAAATGGCATTGAGGTACTTTCTTGACCATCAATGTCTCTAGACTAAAACCCTATAGAAACGTTTAGAGGTTAATGAAAATTAATATACAAAAAAAAAATTCGATCAATTACGGGCTATGGCTTTATCAATAAAGGTTATTTATAAATTATTAATAAATGTACAATACAAAGATCAATAAAGAATTTCGTAAAAGTGATAAAAAAATAAATTCAATAACAAATATTATTGATTTAATCTAAAATTTTAAAACTTCCATCACCGATTAATCCAATAAATGGAAATAAATTGTTATATGACAAAGCAAAAGTAAAACCTTCTCTCACTCAAAGTAAACGGAAAAGGGAGTAAATTATGTATGACGGTTAGGTTTAGGTTTATAAATATTTTTTATATTTTTTCAGAAAAATAAATTCGTTAGTACTTGCGCGCCAAAAAATCATTTAAGGAGTCCATATTTGATAATTGATCTACATTCCAATTTCTAAATGTAATATTTTTTCAAATACTCATTAATCAAAAACTTTAATTCAGTCCGTCGAACCAAATTCACTTTTAATTACAATAACAACCAAACCGATATGGAGACACGAGAAAGGGTAATTCCTTTATTAAAACGGAACTCTAGATATGAAGTCATATTTGTCATCTTGGACACTATTTCGTCGTTCTTTAAATAATGTCGATCCATAATCGTTTGTAGATTTACAATCATGTGACTTTATACGTCATTACTAGAATTTAGAAGATTCTTTAAAAAAAAAAATTGCAACGTTATACGATGGAAAATTGGGAATATGCATATATATGCAGAAAAAATTAATTCTGTTAACAGATAGATGAGCAAAAAAGATATTATTTTATTATACATTATATTACAAGTGATGTGATGTTATTTGAACGAATAAACGTAATTATTATTTCTTTTTTTTTTGTGCATAAATCCTATGTACTTTAACATATGTTTGATTTACTTCCACTTCTTTAGCTATAATATCAAACATTTCTTCAAATGATGATTGTGAAATACCCATGTATTCATTCATACCAATACATGTATGAGCATTTCTGAAGATTTTGAAAGCCTGCAAAGAATGCAAAACCATTTAATAGGTTGTTCACAAAAGGAAATAATGGAAATATGTTTAGATACTTACCACTGCACCCAAATTACTTCCCCAAAGTGGAGCGATTGTTTCATTTATAATAACTTCGCTTTCTAATTCTCCTGTGGCTTCAAGAAAACCTTTCAGACATGGCTTGATATTTAAATTTATTCCTTTTGAAATAAAACGTTTCTTCGTTGCATCCAACAATCTTTTCATTGTGGGGCCAACATTTTTAAAGTCGTAAGCTCCTTCCATTAGCTACGAAATAATAATAATTTTTTTTTAGCTTTATTAATTTTTTTTTATTAAAGAAAGAAACACCAGAAACATACATACTTCTATCCAACCATTGCTCTTTACGCAGCGTAACATGTCTTTGATTATGATTGGCCAATCAGATTCTTTCCATGCCATAAACATATTTTCTTGAAAAACAAAATCAAAAGTGTTATCGAAGAATGGGAGTCCATGAAGGGCATTGCATTGAATGAATCCAAGGTTTTTAGGGCGTAATTCTTCATTAAACATTATGGAAATGTCGACTCCAACAAATGTACAATTTGAATATTCGCAACTCATATCAAAGAGCCATCCTCCAGAACCGCATCCTACATCAAGTACTCGAAGGCCGCCAGCTTTAAATTTTTTTTTTAAAGGCGTATTGAAATTGTTTCCTTTCCAAATGAACTTTGAAACATGATGTTGCATCCTTAATCTATTAGCTTCATCCGCGCTATTTGGAAAAAGGTAATCTGGTTCGTTTTCACATTTCTCCATGGTTGAGGCGCGTTTATTTATTTATTTTATTTTTTTTTAAAAAAAAATTTCGTGTGAAAGGTAAAAAAAAAAACTAAGATGTTTTTTTTTTCTTTTAAAAAAAATTCTAGAGGATGCGGTATTTATTAATTCATTTTTTTATTTTTTTTATCACAAGATCGTCTCATATAAAACCTAAAGCGGAAACGAACAGAATTAAATAAGCATGATTATTTGTTTATATTACAAAATTTCCGAAAATGCGATTAGTATACACATATATATAATTTTAAATGCAATTAGATTTGCTGCGCAATCACGAATTATTTCCAGGTGTATCAATTTTTTAATTTATGCAACAAGTGATCACCGATACACGGATTAATTTTCAAATATATCCTTTTTTTTCTTGTGTGAGAATTTAATTTTACCAAAAGTAGAAAATAAATCAGAAAATTCATTTCAATTTCTGCATTTTATCTCGGCTATATCGATTAATACCAATTTACGCAATCAATTAATCAAACATTTCAAATAGAAAAGCAAGTTTTATTTAATAAAAGATTCCAGCTGCATATTTGTTTTTTTTTTAAAAAAAAAAAATCACATGAATCGGGTTATATTAACATACGCAGTTACCGGCGAGTTCCGATCTCGCCGAAATTTACCGAAACGTCACAAATTATTACGCCACCACTTAACATCTAGAAAAAATTTTTTGTTCGCACGCACCATCTAATTTGCAAACTGTTCAAGGTAAATTCCGTGGATTCAAACTGGTATTCAAATGATGTTTGTGACCCCGTGATCATTTTGCCCATGGAATTGAGCGAATTGAGCCCATCTATAAGTAGATTGTTCTGTACATGCATGTAAAAGCATTTAATGTAAATTATATGCAAAGCAAAACTATCTGTATGCAAAAGATTGTTCAAATACTTTGTCATTACAGTTGAATTATACGTCAAATTATATCAATTCATGATTTGTATTAATTGGTAATATATTGACTAATCATGAATACATGTGATATATTTTGTACTTTGATATCATTTCACGAGAAATTCGAAAACTATGACAGAAAAATTGTAAAAACCGGACGACGAAATTTTTTCTTTTTTTAAGAAAAAAATAGTTTTTCACGCGACGCAGCAAATCAAATCTAAGAATTTTTAAAAATTTCAACGAGAACTTTTTTTTTTTTTCAAAGATAAATAATAAAATTTTTTTTCGTTACATAAAGAATTTTCTTTGCAGAGCATTCTAAAGGTTGGCTCAGAGCAGAGCTTTTTTTCAAATATGTCAAAGTTTAGATCAGCAGAACAATATAAAATGTAATATTTTAGCGTTATTGTTATGTTTATTGTTTACGTTTGGTGTATCTATTTATTTATACATCGAATCGGAATCCGCCAATGCGAAACGTCCAAAAAGTCAGACATTATGTTCTTTTGTTCTCTAGACATGCTTGCTCTCTAGAAACATTGTTCTCGTATTGATAGTTCTTTGATTTCTTATTTGTATCTCTTACATAATAAATGTATAAAGTGCCAACGTCGATCCATATATACCATCTGGATTTGACGACTATAAAATTCTTTGCACCAATAAAATTTGCAACATGCAAACTCTGTTCTACTCACTAAACCACAATTGGTTTTATCAATGGCATTAATAAAGACAACAAGTTATTTAGTTCTGAACTTAATGATTTCAAATACGATCGACATCAAATTACTTAAATTATCATTTGCTTATGCCACATTAAATATTTGTACTAAAAATAAAAAAATTTCTCTGATTTGGGGCGACCATAGAACTAAGATGAATGAGATTGGTTCAAGGTGATTATGAAAAAAATTTGAAAATTATATAATTAAATTTTTACTAAATCAACTCCAAACAATTATATTTTTTATGAAAAAAATCCAAGATTGATTAAAGGACATTGTAATTAAATCAAATAAACCGTTAGCCTCATTTAGAATTTAATGGTCGATTTTAATTGGACTTATTTTAAACATTAGAAAATAAATAAATATGATATTAAACTTACTGCATTATATGTACGCGTAGGATAATTGCGTTAGAACGAGAATTCTTTAATCCTTAACTAGATATTCGAATATCTGGGTAACTTCGTTCATCTCAAAATCCTTTAATTACAAAACAAAAAGTCCTATCTATGTCCAAGTCGTGATCTTAAAAATAAAAGTTATTAATATTTAAAGACTGAAACTCACAATTTAAATCCCATAAAGTTTAATTTGAAACTGAAACTTAAAAAGTTAAAAAATTTGAAAATTCATCGAGGTAAAAAAGTTAGAATTAAAACGTCAAGAAAAAAAATTGAGGAAAAAATGAGAGATTTTAGTACCACACAGATCAAACAATTAATGAACGTCGCACAAAAATAAATTTATTTAAATCAATTTTATAGCATGCATTAATCATCGTTGTTTTTGGCGTTGGGGCGCAAGGTAAGTATTTATTTTTTTAAAAAAATATAACCACCTTCCGCGCCCTTTTTTCGGTGTCGGGGCGCAGCGTCGAATCAGTAAACATTGATTTTTTTTCCTTATATATTAAACTACTGTCCATTTAAGCTAATTGCATAAGACATTTGCGTCAAGCATAAAATTTATAAAAATGACAGAAACGTCTAATCTATATTTGGAAATAGTTCTAACCATATGATAAACCTTTCCTCTTTTATTTTGCTAAAACGTTGATCCAATATACGATGCAAAATCTGATCAAAATTTTGAATAACTTTTAGATAATTCTCCTAATATTACTGGAACTATCACATCTACCAGACGTTTTTCTGGCAACACTATATAATCATATAAATTTTATTAATCATTATTATTTAACGTTATTGAAAATATTAATAATACATTTTTAACATATTTAGATATACCAGCAACGACGTCTTCTCTTAGACCTTAAAAATTTCTACAGCTATATTGTTCACATTCATCATAAAAAAAAGAGAACAAACCACTTTATAAGAGTACGCCAGCGCTAGTAACGTCATTTTTTCATTTAGTAAATATTGTTGCGATATATTAATATAAGGAATTATACCATAAAACTTTCTGTTGATTAGTCGCTGCTTCAATCCTTTTCAATAATCCAAAGTCTGCTAGTTTCATAACACCTTTGAATGCAATTAAGTAATGATGTATTAATTATACGGGCACTATCCATCATTTCCTACGAGTAATTTTTAAGTATAACGTCATCATAATATTAATGAAAAATAAAAAACTAAGTCAGTAATAAATATAAAAACCTTATTATGTACAATTATATCTTGATTTGAAGATATCCAACATCCAACTAATCAACTGTATCATGATTCTTAAGGAAAGAATTTCAAAAAACCAGATCCCATTGTCCATAAAATGTTATCGAAAATGTCCGGGTGCATGTGGAAAATGTCCGGAAAATGTCAAAATCGTCCGGAAAGTGTACCAAAACAAGGTGGATTCCGGACATCGCGTGATGTCTTGATATTGTCCGGAATTTATACCGAAACATGGTGGATTCCGGACATGATCTGGATACTACGGACAAATTCCAGAATTTTCTTTTCATAGGGTAGTTAAGGTATGATTTATTCTGACGACCCTTAATACTATCATAATATCATCGATACACGCTTGCTTTCCATATGAGAGATTGTTATCCCGATCTATAATCTAATTATCGCGAAAAGTAGAACAATAAGCTAGTGAAACGCTTATGCAATTCACTCATATTTATCTATCTATTTATTTATTTATTTATTTATTTATTTATTGCAAAAACTAAAAAAAATCAAAAAAAAAAACGCTTTTGAAAATATTTGGTCATATAATGGATTCGAATATTAATGTTACACAAAGAAAATTTAAAGAAAATAATGTTACACATGATCTATAAACCAACATTTAAGAATAAAATTTATTTATACATATTACCCGCTTACTAATTGTTCGCCCGTAATGTTTCATATTGATATTTTACCGGATTCACTATCGGAGTTGAATTTTCCGTGAATATATCAACATGACGCAATTACCGTGATATATAAAACGAAAATCGTACCGCAAAATATTTAATATATTTTATTTAATAAGCTTGATATAGAAAAAAGCAACATCGGAGCCTTTTCTTTACTACTATTATTGAAAGGCTTATTAATTGGTAAATCATGTGATTCAAGATTTGTAATTTGAAAAGTTTGTAATGGTTTCTTATTGTAATCTTGAATTTGTTGCACAGGAATAAATTTCTTTTTCAATGTCAATGTTTTTGGATGTTTTAGGTTGTAAACATGGATTGTTTAAAAGTTCACGAGCAGTATTAAATTTTAAGTTTTCATTGATTTCATTTTTAAGAATAAGATTAAAAAAACAATTTAAAAAAAAAAATTGTAAAAAAGATTATTTATTGATGTAAAAAAACAGTATTTTTACGTCACAATAACATGTGACTTATATAATTCATGTGATTTTTCTTATCAAAGGCGTTAGTAATCGGGAAATAACTAATACATAATACTGTCCTGTTACAGGAAATTAACCAAAATAATTGATACACACAGAAATAATTAACATACGTTATACAAGGAGCAATCGAAAGAAGTCTCGTAACGCCCAACATTATTAATTAACCCGTTTACTGTAATAGCAATCCCGGTTACGACCCAATCCAATGCCAGTTGTTTGAGTTGAGTTGTGATCGGATGAAGGTGGTTGTCACTAATACGAGTCTGATATCGCCTAGGCCGGAGGGTATCAACTTGGTGTCTGGAATCACCGCTACATCGTTCTCAGTTTCAATCACAACTCATCGTTGATTTAACTTAATTCTCCTTATTATTAAAAAAATTTTGTTGCAATCAATTTTATTATTTTATTTTCTTTTCAAATAATTAATTAATTATATTGGAGCTTTATCTAGACATGTCGACGCGTTATTTTTTGGAATAATAAGATTCAAAGCAATCACATAAGTTATTGTCAATTCAAGATTTATATCTTTTAACATAAGAAAGACAACGATAAACTTGCCGTCTTTTCACACTTATAGCATTTCCATTTTAACACCTTCAAAATAATTTAATTTCTTTACCTTCATAATCTTTATTTACTTCCTCCACCGACTTTCCTTATATTTATCACCTTAATATCCATTTGAAATTCTATCTAGCTGTGGTTTTATTTCAAAATATTTCATAATTCAATATAATTATTTTGTATTACCGTCCTGAATTCTGAGTGAATTATAGATTCAACTCATTTGAGATATCAATAATTGGAAAGTATTACTTGCTGAACAGATGACAGTACGACCGAATATATGAGACCTTAGTTGAATATGGATAAAAATAGTTCATGCGAGAGAGCAAGGTTACGTATTAGAATTCGTTCTTCTCTCTAAATCTTCTCTTAAATGAACGCAAAGTAATTTCCAACATCAGTAGATAAAAAGACAGTGAGGGGTAATCGAAAATACAAATATATCACGTGAAATTTTTCAAAAATAAATTTTATCTTGTATATTACTGTACATTTTCTTGGGCTATATTATATTATCAATTTCTTTATTAGTGAATCCAACACAAAAAGACCGGTACGCATGATGTGAATTCATAATGCGGCATCTTAAAGCGTAAGCGCTATCTATAGAGATTAATTTTGAACTATTAGAAGCTCTAATAATCCAAATGAAAGGCGAGCTTTTAATGATTTATAAATAATTTGATGGAAATTTCTTTGGAACTTTGTAAAGAAATTGGAATAAGAAAGGCGATAACTCCAATGGCAATAAGTAATCGTTTTGAAGAATTAAGAATAAACAATAAATTTTTTTAAAAAAATTTATAAAATGTATATTTTACGTTGACTTAAATTTAATTTTTATCCAGGGTATTACGGATCAAAAGGGTAATCATTATGAAGTATTTTTTTATTTAATAATCTTTCTAAGGCAAACGGTTTTTATAAGTATTGGTTCCTAAAACTGCATTACATTTGATTTCTCAGGATAAGGACGATATAAAATTTGAAGCAGCTATTGGAGTAGCTTAACGTTAAATAAATATTTTTATTCATTTTTCTTTTTAAAATTTTACTTTACATATTTTGCTTTTAGAGAATTTCTTTTAATAAAAACAAAATGAACAAAATACTAATTTTAATGATTCAATTTGTGCGTCAATAGAGAATTTTTTTCTAGAAAATGATTGGTAGATCTGCCTATAATTCACCTATACATTTTGTGTCACTACCCAGTGTACATGAAAATTTAAATTAACGTGACACCCTGAGCTTCGTCGTCCCATATAATTATTTCACTCAGTGCATTCTTTGATTAAAAGAATTTTATTTTGTTATACAATCCCTTGAAAAATAATCCGCGATCGTTGGTATAGCAATGTCATCATGTATCACAGGTTTAAGTCCAAAAGTTATTATGTATTAATAAAAGATTTCTATCATGTGATTTTGTATCATGCCGTTTTCTGTGCTAAATTATTGTTCTTTATATACGAGATAGCATCGAATTTTCTATTGTAAATTAAGGAGCGTATTAATGTAATGCGGTCATATTTCACCAAGATTTGATTTCAAGGTCAATCATTAGACCCAAATCTTTAATTACAACTTATAAAATGTGCAAAGCAAGTAAAGACGAAAAATTCAAACCGATCAATCTGACCTATGCATCATCATTATCATAGATTTAACGAAACAAATGTATTTCCAAATAATAAAAGAAAGAGAATGTTGTAACGCTTCAGCTTAATTCTAGAAAATTGTCATCATGTTGCTAATCTTTATTTTCGGTTTTGTAGATGTTCAACGCTAAAGCGCATCCTTTCTGTATCGTGATCGTGACGTTTAATCAACGCAGTAAGACCTGATTTCAGCAAACAAATTTGGCGCGATCCACAATGAATCTTAGTGGTAAGAAAATATTGTATTGCTTATCTCTAGAGTTTGTGCGAATTACATAATTTCAGAGAATTCATTTGCGGAAAATAATCATTTATAGTCTCTACGGGTAGGGAGTGATATAGATAGACGAAAATTTTGTAGATTTGAGTGTGATAACTTATTTCGGAAATTTGATGTTTTATAGAAAACTATGTGATAATAGGGATAGAAATAAATTAGTTGTAGATTATGTGAAAGAAACGAATAAATTGCATGACGCATGAACTTTCAAGATTCGCATACTCTCTCCCTTGAAATAAATGTCTTATGTTTCTCTTGCTCCGAAGGGTAAAAAACGATATATTTTCGAAAAGTCAAAATCGAATCATAGAGTTTCGACTTTGCCATTTGCCAAGTGGTTATGAATTAGCCTAGTGGGAAAATAGGAAAAAATTTTGGACCAAACCGATACAAGAACGGACCGGTCCAAAAGGACTGACTTATGGAACCAATCCAACCTTATTCACAAAGGTATTTTACTTTTTAAGAGTATAAAAATTCTTTAATTAGATTTACATTATAAATTTATTAAAATTTGTTAAAAAATTTTAACCTTTACCATTTTATTCAAGAACTTCATAACAAATTTAATTTAATTTTTAATTTTAAACTATAACAAGGTAACAAATTTATCTATAATTAATTTGTTATGCATATCAACTTTTTTACTATCATCGGAATATACTTTAAACTACCAAAAGGAGATAATTTTTTACATTAAATATAATGTTTCATGATGATCTCATTGATTATATCACCGATCCGATTATGTAATTTAATTTATCATCGGAACCTTAATAATTATAAAATTATTTTATCAGATCCGAGCGACCAAAGATTTCATGAATATTTTTTCTAAATATTAAGTAATGAACAAAACATTAGGATAAGATTTCGTTCGAAATACAAATATAGATTCGAATATTCAAAAATGTAACAGTCAGTGACTTCCATAATTATTGTACCACCATTTAAATTAGAGCAAAATTTAATTAACATACAAGTCTTCCTTTATAAAGGGAAAAATTAAAGATGAAATTCCCCTGAAAATCATATTTGGTAAAATTCCCCCTTTCTATTGCAAAGGTCCCATATGATCTATATGATCTGTAACATCATATTATATTATCAAAATAAATTTAAAATTTTATAATTCTTGAAATATATTTTTAATTCAAACATTCTAACTGATAAATTGATTGATTTCTTTTCCTGAATGATTTATTCATTCTTAAATCAAATAAAATCATTTATTGTAAAATTTTATCAATCTGATTTAACTTTTAGAAAAAATCTTACCAATTTGCATGATTAACATGAACTAACGGAATATTTCCGAATTGAATTTTTATATCCGAATCATCCAAATTTTTTAGCCAACAATAATTGAATTATCGATAAAATTATTTCGTTTTATTGTCATCATTGTATCTGGGTTTTAATTTATAGATTAATAAATGATGTATGAACAAATAAAATCGAAGGTTCAATAAATTTAATAAATTTGTATCGGTATCCGTAAGACATTTCATGATGATCTCTTATTTGGCTTATATAACACAAAGATCGTCGTTTCAGAAAATTTTATTCGGTCATCAGACCCTTAAAAATTATCCCGGTGGGTTTGCCAAGCGATCAAAATACTTATCAGAATAAGATACTAACATAAAGTAAGTACTCAAATATTTTTCAAAATATTTTGAGAGAGTTCGGAATATGTTTTCCGTTCGAAATTCAAGTAGAGATTTCAATCGAATAAATTTATCACATATGTACAGTAATTTTACATATCAAATTACAGCAAATTTCATAAGTTACAGAACACCTGGTAAAATTTTTGCCGAGAAGTCCGGGTTCTCGGGTTCTCGGGTTGTCGGGTTCTCGGCAACCGAGAACCCGGCAAAAATTTACCAGGTGTCCCGAAATTTGCTGTAAAGAAAAAAAAACAGCTGACAAATTTCTTGCCACATATGAATATTGAAACAATGTCGCTGTCTCAATATCAATAATTAAGATTTACCAATCTATACGGTTGAAACAAAATTTTTTAAGTTTAAAATTTTTAATGTTTCGCAAAGTCTCGGTTCGTAAAAATCTTTTGCCTTCTAATTTCGTATAAATACACCCAAGACCTTAACCAGGAAAAAAAAAAAAAATTAAATAAAATAAATAATTCAAACTATCACTTCACAATCCTTGATTAACAACATTAACACCGTCACTACCTTATATCTATTCACACTCTTTGATCACTCAGAATCTAAAAATTTTCCGTTCTGGTCAACTGAAAATTTAAGACATCAAATTTTTTCTAATTTTTTTATTTATTTTTAACAAAATGAAAACTTTTATCTGGTTTGCCGTTATCTTTTGCATCATTTATGGAATGATGATTAACGCATTACCCATCGAGGAGGGAGATGAAGGTTAAGATCAATTTCTTTACATTGTTTGAAAATATTCCAATTTCTTGCATTATATTTAATACATGATGATACTTGATTTGTAGTTCACCTTCTTGAGAAGCGTTGTAGTTTTTTCTCAAGGTTGATCGGTGACTGTGACAATCCCGGAGCAGTTTGTGCGTCTGACATGGATTGCGGTGATTTGGAATGTCTCCCAGCCGGGACTGGACCTCATCGTTGTCAATAAATATTTGCAAATACCGGAGATGTATTTTCACACTGTTCGTTTAGTTGAATAAATTTTTCATACGTAAACTATACGAATTCAATACGAAAATGTTAATAGAACTTAAATTATACATTGGGGTGGGGAAAATACATTTGATAAATAATAAATAGCATTAAATTTCATTAAATAATTTCAATCACGCGAGTGTAAATAATTGTCATATATGAAATAAACATTTATTGTCTTAGAAAAAAAGATGTTTTTTTGATTTCATATTTTTAATGTTTCCTAAAATGCATAAATATTATTTATTTAAAATGGTTGCTCTTAAATTTCTTCTTTATGACGGTTTCAATATGTTTAGGCGTCAACTGACTATTTACTTCACCCTTCATGATGAGTAAACACTACTCTTTCTTTTACATGCATGAAGGTGTACAATATCATTCTGAAAGAAAACAAGTTTTGAACTTGCACTTCATTTATTAGTTTTAATGAATTTATGGTCAAAATTTTTAATTTAATGTTTTATTTATAAGTTATTAAACTAATATCGCTACATTAGAAAGATTAATATAAGGCCGGGCAAAAAAATTTTTTAGATTCTCGTGACCCGACCGCCTCAATTTTTACAAAAACTCGTGATTTTTTTTTTATAGTAAAATTTTTATCACGTGACTTTATATAATGAAAAAATCGTAATAGCATATATACTTTATTATAAAAAATTTTAACATATATTTTCGTGATTTTTTGTTATTTGAAATTTGATATTCTTAGCACGTTTTTTTTTTGTCAGAAACTGTCAATAACACTCACTACAATAATAATAATATCCTTCATTTACCTTACTATTTGCGTAATACAAAACATAATATAAAATACATATAAAAAAAATTATATATATAAAAAAAAAGCCGGGTGACCGTGTCAATTTTAAAATTTTATGTTCACGAGAATCTAAAAATTTTTTTGCCCGGCCTAAAATGCAGGCAAGATCACACAATAACAAATTTACATCATTACCATATCGGCTTTTGTTAAAGACGTAAATTAAAAACACGAGCTGCTATAATTATAATGATTAAAATTTAGACTTACACATTAGAAAATTTCACGAATATAAAGTTAAAAAAAACAAAATTATTATTTTTATATAATATTGTAATAATTGTAATAATCGAATTGGGTATTTTTTTCCAACAGATAAATAATTAAAGGTTTACCTGATCGTAGCAGAATGTGTTATGTTAGCATTTCTAAGTTGATATTTTAGTCGTTTGCTATTAAAATAAGATCCAAGATGAAGAAATTCTAGTGAACTGAACGTGATTTTAATAGCAAATTTCCAATTGATTTTCTCAAAAATTTAACCTGTTTCTTGAAGTATAAGTATCATTCTCTGTCCATAA